ATCATTTGTTTGCATTTCCAACCCCTTTCCCTCCCAGTCTTCCGTTGTGTTTATTATTCACACAATAAATTGAATTATAAGTGAATTGAAAAACGCTTTAAAGCTATTATTTTATTGATTAGTAATTTATTTTTGACAAAATTATTTGTAAAAATATATTTATAAAGAGTTATGAATGAAGATTAGGCTATCTATAAAAGTATAAGACCTACGTTTATATGAGCTTGATAGATTTAATAATAATAATTATATTTTTAAACTCGAGTTTATGATCAAAACTTATGATCATAATGTAATATTCTAGCATTTGCTTTGAATACTAGTTTCAATGGGTGAAATTGTTACTATCATTTATACTAGAATGTTAATCAGAGTTTTAACCAAGTACAAGACTTTTATCAAGTGTATAAATCGCCCAGAATTTTTAAAAAAATTATTAAAACTCTTTTAATAAAATTATTATTAAATGTTTAATACTATACTAAATTCTATAACAATTTAGAAGTAAAACCATTTGTTTAATTTTATTTTTATTTGTTACCATGCTTGTTATTGAATTTGAATGGTTGCTCACCTGCATTAGTATGTAGTTCTTGGCCAACAAAAGTGTTGCAATTTTGGACAGTTTGCGGACAGAGGGTGAGTGAGCATAGGGTATGACTGTCCTCAGCTCATCCAACGCGTCGTTTGAATCGACTATACGTTTTTGAATGATGTTGGGGCACATGTATGCTAACTGTGCACATGTATGTGTTATCAGTGTTAAATACGGTCCATTTCACAAATTCGTAATTTAGATTTTAGATTCATTTTTAATAATAGGCACAACATTTAGACATTGATTTTATAACCATAACATACAGTACACACACATTCATATCATCCCATAGTCTACTCTCACATACAAATGCATCGCCAAAAACGAGAGCTTTTATTTCATTACACTTTATTGTAATTTTAATATCACTCTTAAATAGTATTATAGAAATATTATTATAATATATCGGAAAAATTATTATATAAACGGGTTTAAGGAGAGGGAAGGAGAGAGATGTTGTTTAGAAGAAAATATTTTATTTCCTATAAAAAACATGCGATCGTTTAGTCGGTAAACAATTTCTCCTCAATAAACATAAACTCTTTCCCCCCATAAAAGCATAATCTAAATGCAATTTCATTATAAATAAAATAAATAAATTATTATACAAATACATACCAGTGTTCACTATAAGTGGTCCTCATTTGTCCACACATTGGGAACAGTTAAGCGCTGCCGAGGAAGGCATCAATTTATTTGCTGATGACTTTTCAATCATTTCCGACACATGCAAACCGTTTGTGTTTGAGGTCGGGGGCGGCGGAGGGCTATTACTATTGGGGTTATGATTGCCGCCACTGTTGCCATAATTGGTGCCGTTGTTGCCGCCGGTCATTGAATGGATGTTGAGTTGCATCTCTTGGCTGAAGTGTGCGTGCAATGAGGGCAGTGATGCCGCGGCCGCACACGTGGCCGCCATACCCGGCGGTAACGGCACTCCCGACTGATTCATGAATACTATTATTCGCCGCAATTCTTCCAATGCATTCCCCTTTGCGTACAAATAATCGGAGATTTGTTAATATTTTTTAATTAAAACTTATTTATAGTTTAATTGACTAAAATATATAATATTTGTACTTTTTTTTATTGCATTTGTCTGGCGATTAACACTTATAGATAATACATTTGGCTTATAAGTTGATATATTGTAGAAATAAAATCATTTGTTTGCATTTCCAACCCCTTTCCCTCCCAGTCTTCCGTTGTGTTTATTATTCACACAATAAATTGAATTATAAGTGAATTGAAAAACGCTTTAAAGCTATTATTTTATTGATTAGTAATTCATTTTTGACAAAATTATTTGTAAAAATATGTTCATAAAGAGTTATAAATGAAGATTAAGCTATCTATAAAAGTATAAGACCTATGTTTATATGAGCTTGATAGATTTAATAATAATTATTATATAACGTATATACTTTTAAACTTATAATGTAATATTCTAGCATTTGCTTTGAATACAAAGTCTGTACTAGTCCCGATGGGTGAATTTGTTACTTTCATTTATTACTATCATTTATACTAGAATTTTAATCAACGTTTTAACCAAGTACAAAACTTTTATCAAATGTATAAATCGGCCAGAATTTAAAAAAAACCATTAAAACTCTTTTCAATAAAATAATTATTAAATGTATACTAAATTCTATAACAATTTAGAAGTAATTTATTTGTTTAATTGCATTTTTATTTGTTATCATGCTCGTTATTAAATGTAAATGGTTGCTCACCTGCATTAGTATGTAGTTCTTGGCCAACAAAAGTGTTGCAATTTTGGACAGTTTGCGGACAGAGGGTGAGTGAGCATAGGGTATGACTGTCCTCAGCTCATCCAACGCGTCGTTCAGATCATGCATTCGTCGCCTTTCCCTCGCGTTTATGTTGAGTCGGATGTGCTGTTAGAACATTGGGTTCAATACAAAACTCTTTACATTCAATACATTTAAGCAATTTATTTGTTAAAAAGCGTATAAAAACCTATTGATGTAAAAGTTTTTATAACTTTTGTAAACTAATCTAAATTTTAAAAACTTTCTAAACACTAGAGCTTTTATTATACAATTGAGTTTAATTAAGTGAAAACACTGTTAGCTTTAGGTGCGAGTGAATGAGAGGAGAGAAGAAGAGGAGGAGGAGAGAGCCATTGGGAGAGCTATAGTTAGCAATACGTGGCAGTAGTGGTGATGGAGTCGGCAATCAGTGCTGAGAGAGAGAGAGAGAGAGAGAGAGAGAGAGAGGGCTGACGGCAAGTGTCAGTTAAACATTGAATGATTAAACTGTTGTTAATAAGAGCCTGAAAGGGACTGATAGGATGTGATACTATAAAACTCATATAAGTAAAGACGATATAGACTCACAGTTTTGCCCAATCGGTGTTTCTTCGATGCATTGCATCTCTTATTGCCATTCATTATATTGTTTTCCTGCTCTTTGCCGGCAAACGAAGGACTACTGCACTCTAGAACTTTGGCGGCGCCGACATAATGGGCGGCCGAGGCCTGAATGGCCCGCTTTAACGTAAACAACTTGTGGTCGTCGGGAGGGGAGCCCCGACTGTCTTCGGTGTGATAGTGAACATCGATGCCATTGCTGTCGCCGTCGGTGCTGGGCGTGGGTGAGCTCAGGTCGCCGGCGGTCATCGCGGCCAACATATTGGCGCTGAGAGGGGTAGCGGTGCCGCATATGCTGAGCGCAGCGGCGCTTTCCGGCAACGATAGCATCGAGTGATGGCTGTGATGGTGATGGAGGGGATGCGGGCCGTGATGTGCGGTCGGATCGGGTACGCGATGGTGGCTGTGATGAAGCATAGCTGCGGCTGCGGTGGCGGCGCTCGTAGGACTGATGCCAAACGCTGTGCCACTGACTGCACGTGTTGTGGCGTTTAAATGCTCGGCCAATACGGACGAAACGCTGAATATGCTTGAATAGGGCGAACACTGTTGGTGTTGTTGCTGTTGCTGGTGATGATGGTGTTGCTGGTGGTGGTGAGCGTAGGCTGACTGTGACATCTGTGCAGCTCCTGTCAGTGTGCGGACCGCAGATGGGCTGAAGCCAGTCGTCAATGACTCCGCACTGATTGCCGACTCCATCACCACTACTGCCACGTATTGCTAACTATAGCTCTCCCAATGGCTCTCTCCTCCTCCTCTTCTTCTCTCCTCTCGTTTGCCTCCCTTTCCCTCTCGACTCTCGAAACACGCAATCAATTATCGTGTCGTTTGAAATGCAAAACTAGCTTTTGATACACAAAAAATTTGCAGTGAAAAAATCCCAACACTTTTATTTGGGGATAATTTTGCCGACCATTCAATTCATTTACACGTTTCGTGCGTTGAAGTGGTCCTTAAGACCAAACAATTGATAGACAAATACTATTTTATTAAAAAACTAAGTCATGCCTCGTTTCTATCACTCATAACACAAACACTCGTATTGTCTAACTTTTGGGCAACAGTTAAGTGACTTAACAATAATTATTATCACAATTGAGAGGTTTTTGTTGGGAAGAAAAGGCGTAAAAATGATTACTAAATGTATTCACTATTAAATAACAGGAATGTATGGATAACTGTAAGAGTAGAGAGACGTTGTGTTGTGTCTAAACATTAAATACTATTCAATAAGTGTCTGCCTCTCCACCACTTCTATGCCATCATCACTACTATAGGTCCACATAAAGCCGGAGCGCATCTCATCTTCGCTCTCAACTGTTTTTCTTTCATATAATCTGATGGAAGGAAAAGACATTTTTGTGTCTCAACTTAGATTACAGTTAAGGGACGGATGAATGGAGAGAGAGAGAGAGAGAGAGAGAGAGAGAGAGAGAGCTGGAAAGATAGCGGGAGTAAATGTGGGGCTATTTAAAAGGGGATGCGGAGAGAGATGTGAAGAGAGCTGTTAGAGAGTGAGAGTAAGTGAAGCGCATCCCAGATCTGTGTGTATATGTGTTACACAATAATAATTTGTCAGGCATTTGAACCAAACCAATCAAAGTGTGCAAAACAAACGCAATGCTAAGCCTAACCAATAGGTCTGTGCCGCTCAATGATGATGGTAAGCACTTTTTGTCAGCTCCTGGATCATAGTGTTTGGGAGCAGTGGTAGGGCAGGGCATGCGCTACCGTTAGCCTTAATGATGGGGATGACTGAGTAGTGAAGATCTCGGCCGCAAATCCCTGAGTGACTATCAAGTGGTCAGTGATTGAAAGGCATATAAAAGGAAAGTTTAATTGAATTTATTGACAATAAGTAAAGCGAATGGACTCTTGTATTGAGACAACTGGAGTATAAGTGGCGGACAGACATCTAAGAGATCATTGGGTGGGGATTTGCAGCGGAACTGTTAGTTGTGATCATTGCTTAAGCATATCACGAGAGAGAGAGAGAGAGAGAGAGAGAGAGAGATTGTGTGTTTGAGCCATAGTTAGAGACTAATATCTGTAAAAGTTTGTATTCTTTAGAGAGAGAGAGAGAGAGAGAGAGAGAGAGAGAGAGAGAGAGATTGTGTGTTTGAGCCATAGTTAGAGACTAATATCTGTAAAAGTTTGTATTCTTCTTCATATATTATCATATGATATGTTTGTTCTCTGCTTTCAAATCAAATCATACACTCCATGGACTCCAACAGACAATTCAATTCATTTTGTGTTAACATTTGTATTAAAGCCGCAAAAATCTCATTAAAACGTGTAATAAATCTGAGTTTTTCATACGAAATGCAAAACTATATTTTGGTATAAAAAGACATTTGAAATTCATTTTCTAAATGAATAAAAGATTTACTGAAAATCTTCCGCCAAATGATTAAACGATAGATAAAAACAAAACAAAACAAAACTGTATTTAACGAACAGAAAGGGCTTAAGAGATATATTTACGTAAATCTGATTTCTCTCATCATTCGTGTTATACAAGTGTTTTTAGGGTTTCTTTTGGATACCAAATGATAGTAAATAACATTAAAACACAATATAGACAACAATACAACTCTTGTTAAACTATGGCTCAAACACACAATCTCTCTCTCTCTCTCTCTCTCTCTCTATTCATTGAGATATCTATCTGTAATAAGTGTAACACTTTCTCTATTGTCGTCTCAATTCATACGCAACGGTGCCGTTAAAGAGGAGATGCCATTCACGTGAATGACTAACACATCCACTGATTTAGTATTTAAATTGCTATAAGACTTGGCGTGAAGTGTAACACACCATACAATCCATGAGTGAGAGAAACACTACATACATGTCTGGGATGTATCGGCGGCTCTGGCACTGCAATAGCCGGCAATCCGATACGCGCCGGTAGTGTAACATTTCCCACGATTACAAATTCATGTGCATTAGTCTCGGACTCTCATCCATAACTATCTCTATCAATTGCATCCCTATCGCATCACTTGCTCTCTCTCTCTCTCTCTCTCTCTCTCTCTCTCTTTCTCATTTGTCTCCCAATTCCGCAAACTATTCATTATTTGACGCGATTTTATTGGCGATAAATAAGATGAGCGAAGATTCAAAATAACTCTTTTGTGATTTAATTTTAAAAGCGAAGATATATCAATAAAATTAAACAATAGTATAGGAGTTAATGCTATCAACAAATTACTGCATCAAAATTGTCGCATAAAACCCAATCATCGGATTATACGATAACCACTTCGACAACAACACAGGCGGAGGACAAACAGGGAAAGAGAGTCGATAGCAATCCGTAGTATTTTTGTTGTATATGTTTGCCGTCAAAATCGTCAATAGTTTTGTTTTCGAGTACAGAAACTGAAGCCAACGAAACGGGATTAGCACTCAAATCCGATTTGATTACAATATACGGTATATACAGTCCGGACAGACTTTTACTATCGGGTCGTTTGTCAATCCAAATCCACCGCAAGGATAGAGGCTATAGACCTATTGAGAGGCACATCCATAGAGAAGAGCACAGTTAGCATCAATAGTAACATAGGGAAAGAAAGGGAGAGCGCAGGGGAGAGCTGTCCACCTGTTAACTCGCTTTTCATTGCTTTTTGGTTAGGCTTTGATTTCGTAAACCCAAAAATTGTCTACTATTTAAAAGCTAACAGATGTGAAGAGAGCACACCGGCAGACAAATACAGTATTGAATACAATACAAAACATACACACAATGAATGCACTGCCACTCGCATAAAGAGGAGGTCCCGGCGTTGATGTGTAGCACAAGTGTTTTCAATGCCGAAGCCATAGCCATAACTACTATTATGTTGGCTAACAATACGAATCAAACTTATGGGTTAACTTTTATATGTTGAATACCACTCCCGGGACACTCTAGTACTGCTCCTCTCCATCCCTATCCCCCACTCATCTCTCTCTCTCTCTCTCCTCATCTCATATTGCCTTAAGCCTCAACACATTGACCAACATTTTCCAAATACTCGCCGACATATGGCTTATACATTATCTTTACTATTGATAACAATTTAATCATTCATTTTAATAATATATCATAAAAATCTCTTTTAAAATCTATTTTCATTTCAATATAAATACAAGTTGTTATATACATCTCATAGACTTTTAAATAAGTTTTTATAAAACATTTGGTTCGGCCGTAACGTCGGCCGCATTCAACCGATGGTCGCGTTTATGTCTCAGTATTTGAGTCGATGTAAGCAATAATTTTTGCTGACATTCATCGCAGGTGTAGAGTACCTTCAGGGGGTCGTAAGTATCGGTTCCGGATGTGGTCGCTTCCCCGTCTTCACCGCCCGCCCCAGACTTGTCATCGCGGCTGTCGGTAGTGGCCATTGGTTTGCATTGCTCTGAGTGTCGGATCTGTTCTAACGGTGTGAGTGACCACTCTTTGCCACAAGACTCGCACTTCCAGTCCTTTCGCAGCAGTTTTTGTGTCGATTGAGAAGCACTGGATTTCAGACTACGTGAGCGGACAGACAATTATAGAGACAATAATTTAATTACATTTCAAACACTGTAGAGACGAGTGTCTCTCTAAGGATTAGTTGAATGATTAGAAAAGCTATCAAATAATTAATTGTATAAAATGTTATTTTGCGCAAAAATTTTGTTGTTTTAATTAATTAAAACAATTACGAAATGGATTTAATTAATTTTTATCTCCAATACAACTTATTTATAAATATTGTTTAATAAATTAATAGATTATTCAATTTTTTGCGATAAAAATTAATGAGTTTTTTAAACCTTTGATACAAATAAAATAATCTCAAGACATAAGAAATCAATTCACAAAATCAATTCATTTAACAAAAATAATATATTTTTTTGGGCAAAAAATATTGAATAATAAATTATGTGAAATGTTTTATCCAAGAAATCAATATAACATGAGAGAGAGAGAGAGAGAGAGAGAGAGAGAGACTCAACAAAACATTGAAATAAATACCAATTGTATGTAAGATATGGTCGTATCTGAAGACCGCCTTTAATGGGATGTCTGCTATAGTCTCCGTTCGCGCACTCATTGAACAGTTTATTGCGCTTAAGATCTTTAGTTAACACCAAATCGTCGCTCCGATCGTATCGACCGATATATAAGTCCTTAATATCGGCGGCCAATAGACGTCTCATCGAGAAGTGGATTTCGGTGCGAATGAAACTATAGATACTCTTCACTAATTGGTTCCGCAATCGCCGCACTTCCCGGTCGTCTCGCACTTCACCCTCTTTTACATTCATGCTTTCAAAACACTCTGAAATATACACACAATTTGTAGTATAAATAAATGAAACGTAAAATTAAGATATGATTTTCACTTCATATTTATATACAAAATATAAAGTATATCTCAAGAGATGACACCAAACAAATCGATTACAATATTTTGTCCATTAATATACTATATGTATACAGAGATCAGAGGTGTGGGCCCTGTAGGGGGCGGCCGAGGGGACAGGTATTGTACAAACCCTACACCAGTAAAACGGCTGCAAAACAATGTTTTGGGAATATTCTGTGCCTTAAAAAACATTATTCTTGTATTATTCAGCCTTAAGACTATTGGTTCGTCTGATTTGCATGAATAGCGCGTTTCTCTTCGGCGGCCATACAAACCCCCGGAGGACACCAGACATGACATGCAATACATATCGCTATTATTAATGACAATAAACGTGTCAAACATTGAGAGTCGTATGGATGAGGGAGGGATAGGGAGAGAGATGTGATGTCAAAACAGTCTTCGCTGAGAGAGAGAGAGAGAGAGCGAGAGAGAGAGAGAGAGAGAGA